AATACATGTAGTGTAGTAAAAATACATCATTTACCTCTGAACTGTAGTGGAGTAGAAGTACTAAGTAGCAAAACATTTAAATATTCCAGTAAAGTACAAGAACCTCAACATTTCACTCAAGTACAGTTACAATATAATAACATAATTATATATATTTTATATTTATTTTACATTTAAATAAAGCAATGTTAATTTGTTTAGTTTTTCCCTTTTTTTTTTTAAATAACAAAAAGTACCGATAAGAATACCGTTAAAGTACCGGATCGATAAGAGTAGTAGCACCGTTAAAACCTTAACGATACGCATCCCTAGATATTACACAAGTAAAGTGTTGAGAGTGAAATGTTGCTTTACAAATTTCAACACTTGATGCTGTCAACTTGATTCCAATTTCAGATACCTGTATTTGCCTAGCTGAATTGGTTTAAAGAGAGAAAACATTTTGACTAGAAGTTGACTAAAATGTAATGATTTTTCAGCGACTAAAACGTTTTGAGTTTTCGTCGACTAAAACTATGAAGGCTAGAAATGACTAAAATGTGACTAAAACTAATAACCCTTTTCGTCTTAAGACTAAATAAAAAATTGCTGCCCAAATTAACACTGGTATCGTTTACGGGTTAGTGTGGGGATTTTTGACCTTGTGTTCTGTTGCCGCCTGGACGGCCTGTAAAGCATTTTTAACTTTGTTTTCAAAAGTGCTGTATAAATACTATCATTATTATTATTATTATTATTATTAAACGAGCAGCAGCAGCAGCTGTATTTGCTTGTGTTGTGAAGTGTCTGTGTCTTACGGGTGTCTCACCTTGATGTCTAGGTTGGCGGGGGACCAGAGGGCCAGGAGAGACGTGCGCCACGACAGCGACGCCGAGGATGATGACGATGTCAAAAAGGTGAAAATACAGTTTATTTTACTCTGAAGTTAGCACTGTTGGTAAGTGCAGTCCGAGAGGGAGACAGGTATGAATGTCAAATCTAAAAGAAGTTATCAGAAAACGACATTCACGGTTTTAAGATAAGATGGGCCTTTATTGATCCTCGTAGGGAAATGTAGCCGTCATAGCAACACAGATAGTACACACAGGATAATAAAAATAATATAAAAAAGGATAAACCTGTAGTAATAGTATGAATCGAAATGACATGAGTTAAACAGGTGAATGTACATTTATACAGAAAAAAGTGCTGAAGGACAAACAGAGATAACACATTGTTTCCCCCCCCTTCCCTCAGCCGGCGTTGCAGTCGTCTGTTGTAGCTACCTCCAAGGAGAGAACACGCCGAGACCTCATCCAAGATCAGACCATCGATGAGAGGGGCAAACAGAGGTAGACAAAAACTTGGTATTAAAAATGTAATCAAGGAAAAAACCGATGCTACACATTTGTCTATTCAATAAATGTATTTATTCATCAGGATGATATGGTGAATTGCAATTATTTTAGCCTCGTTAATCCTGACATGACATTTCCAAACCGTGCTGTGTGGGAATGGCCCAAACTATAATTGTATTATTAAGGCACAGCTGGAAATATAATTTATTTTCTGTTCAGGAATCGGCGTATGTTCGGTCTGCTCATGGGGACCCTGCAAAAATTCAAACAGGAGTCAAACGTCTCAACAGATAAGGTGAGGAAAAAACACAGAATTTATGAGTGAACTTTTAAGCTGACGTCATTTAGTGGGGCAAGAAGAAACCCACCTATTGAGTAGTTAACCTGTTAAGCCCCATAGCCCCCAATGAACATTTTTGTTCACGAAACTGAATCTCAGGGCTTCTTAAAATGTATGAAACTATGAATGTGTCATACTCACTTAACGGGAAGAAACTAAGATAACGGACGATATGAACAATTTTTACCCAAACAAAACACAAGTCTCACAAGAAGCATCTAAATGAGCCCTGAGCGAAAAAATGCTAACCCACTTAGCACAGAACTCTAGGTATAAATCGATCGATATACAGTGGGGCAAAAAAGTATTTAGTCAGCCACCAATTGTGCAAGTTCTCCCACTTAAAAAGATGAGAGAGGCCTGTAATTTTCATCCTATGTACACTTCAACTATGAGAGACAGAATGGGGGGAAAGAATCCAGGAAATCACATTGTAGGATTTTTAATGAATTAATTGGTAAATTCCTCGGTAAAATAAGTATTTGGTCACCTACAAACAAACAAGATTTCTGGCTCTCACAGACCTGTAACTTCTTCTTTAAGAGCCTCCTCTGTCCTCCACTTGTTAACTGTATTAATGGCACCTGTTTTAACGCGTTATCAGTATAAAAGACACCTGTCCACAACCTCAAACAGTCACACTCCAAACTCCACTATAGCCAAGACCAAAGAGCTGTCAAAGGACACCAGAAACTAAATTGTAGACCTGCACCAGGCTGGGAAGACTGAATCTGCAATAGGTAAGCAGCTTGGTGTGAAGAAGGCAACTATGGGAGCAATTATTAGAAAATGGAAGACATACAAGACCATTGATAATCTCCCTCGATCTGGGGCTCCACGCAAGATCTCACCCGTGGGGTCAAAATGATCACAAGAACGGTGAGCAAAAAGAAAAATGTAGACCGTCCGTAAACCGGAAGTAGTCTACCTTTACAGAACTGGATGTTGAATTCATACAGAAAATATACCGATGACTCACCGTACGATATGCTCGTTTAGTGTATTGTTTAGTTCACTTTACTTCTTATTGTTAACATTATACATGTTATATTATACACCACAAGTAGAATATTACAGTCAGATCTCATTACGTGGATGTCGTAAAGATTCTGTAACGGTTTTAGATTTACAATGGAAATCCCCCTCCTGGGGTTTGGGAAGCACGCAGTAAAGCGAGCGCGCGTAAAAAAGGTCACCGTTAGAGATAACCCGAGTCCCGGTAGACATTTAATCGAAATCTACCGGGTGTCAGGGTTTAGGAATTACAGTACGTGACTAAAAGGTATAGAGCCGGGGGGATCCAGCTAAGACTACTAACTGTAAGAGAAAATTTAGCAAACTACTCGGTATACCTTAGGCTCCCCTTCCAGGTTTGTGTGTGCAAATGGACCAATTTATTCCTGGATCTTCTGCCGCATCAAAAGGTTTTTCCTTCAGACAGTATGTGAGAAACGCTTCAATAAGTAATCGAATTGATTTATACATTTTCTTCATAAACTATTAGGTATAATAAGGAAAAATACAGTTCTGTGTAACCTATAAAATTAGGAGAAGTCGGTGCAAAAGCAGCAAATAAATACGTAATCTAATATAGTATAGAAACTAAGCTTCATTGTCGATTATTACCACTCCGTATAGACAGTCAAAAACGAAATAGAATAATTTCGAACAAGCCACAGGATCTTCGTTCTAAGGCCTCGATTCTTACGGCCCGGCGAATAGAGAGAATGCAGCCACGCACGTCCTTTGATTTGGGTCGAGGGTACCTCGGAGTAAATATTTTCCCCTATATACGAGTTGTATACGAGTTTTTTACCGTTATGCGGTCAAAGGATGGGCGTTTACAAACGCTAAATTTTTATGATTGGAACTGGCCTTTTTGCACCGCCAGGAAGGTGGCGTTTGAGATTGGGTACGCATGCGTGATTCGTGTTTTTGCCTTCTCTGCTCTTTTGACGCTGTGGCAACGTCTTCCTTCTTACCTCTCTTTATACACCTTTATTATGGCTATTTATTTACAACTGGAGAGGTAAATAGTCATATACTTCTTAAGTAAAAAAAGTTTGTAACTGTTTCGGTTAGAATTTTTACTAATTTGTTTGCGGACAAACGGCTGAGTCAGGGGCCTGTTTTGTGACGGACTCCTTCCGATGACACATAAAAAAAACAGTACTTGGAAAAAGCCTTTGTGACATAAATAAATAAAACCACGCTAGGCTGGAGGTACGACGATGAAAACCAAGTTTGACGTAGGTGGTTTGTTACTAAATAGGGAGTTGAGGGGTTTATTGGTTTTAGACCTGTGCCACCCACCTTACAGAAAAAATCGACAAGGCAGCAGTAAAGGACGATAGAGAAGTATTTCAGTCAGTTTTACTTACTTAGACCCGCAAAGAAACTGATAAATATCCGTATTTTCCCTTTGGCCGCATCCTTCCGACATGCGTGAAAGGAGTGCATGGTTACAAACCCACTTAGCCTTTTAAAGACAGATAAAAAACCTAAAGATTATGCATTCTGGTTGGAAGGGGGTGCACTTAGGATGCGTGCGCAATATTTACTCCGGGACCTTGTACCCAGCTGACTTCTCAGAGCAGTAGCGGACGGATGTTCGTCAGCGCGACTCGTTTCACTGATCTTCCGTTGGTGTGTGAAATATTTAGTCCGTTGTGATTGGTCACGAAGCACACTAAAACAAATAAACATGGATGAAAACTGGTAGGCAAGCGACAATAACTGTAACACCTCTCGTCCGTCTGCCAAAACAAAACATAATATCGTCGATAGCCTACTTAGTTATGTACCCTACGTGTCAAACAGTACAGGCTGATAGTGTTCATCTTAGTATTACTTTTTATGCGTCGCTTTACACGGACCTCTTTTGCCGAATACGGTGTTATCCTATCGTTGTTAATCAGGGTCTATAAAGTCTAATCGAAGTCAACGATTACGGATTGGTAGTGTAAGAATAAAAATATGGTCTCTCTGAAAGTATACAGTCGCAACCACTACGGTTGTCGTAGTTCAAGTACTGACTGTGTTGTAAGTGAATACCCCCTTCAACCCCTATTTTTATTACATAGTCGACGAACACACATGTCAGTCTGTCACTTATCCGGATGAAATGTCGCCACGGCGAGAATTTCATAATCGATGGGCCTGGATTGTCCTCTTATTTGAGGGCACCTTGTCGTCGTGACGTCGGACAGCCATTTACAGCGACTTTGGTGTTATTTGTTGTTACTTCGGTGCCGTGGAGACCCTCCTTTCATATGTCCAAACCTCTTCAGGTAATAAATTAAAATTAGACCGCTTCGGTATATAATTAATTTGATAGTTAATTATACTAATTTTCGTTGTTGCTAGCAGCTGGGTTAGCGTCAAGGGGGCAACAACAACAAACAACACACAACAACAACATCATCATCACTCGCCGGCATTGCGGCAACCCCTCGTTTAGTCGTACATTTGCCACTGCAGTACTGCGGTCGTCGACGTCGTGGTCAGCCCCGAGACCCGCCCACACTTGTTCTGCCCTCCGTCTTTCTCCCTTTGGCCTTCGACTTGGTCTTTTCGAGATTGTGCCTTAATTTCTTGCCCTTTTCTCGGCACCACACCTTTCGCGTAGTCAGTACTATGAATTTACCAGTCCTTAGACACCTTAGAGTAGTGCAATCGTTTCGAACAAACCGTCTAGGTTATTCATTGTCACCCCGTTTTTTCATAACTCACGTTCGGTGGGTTAACACGTTCCAAAGAGGGTCGAATTTTTCTACTCCCCGGACATTAAAAGTAGGATCCATAGTAGAGGTTGATACTCTCTTTTCTTTTTTAATGTCTTTTAGTGTAACAGACTAAAAGTTTCTTAAATAAACGTTTAAATACCGCCTTTTAAACCAGTTAATTGTTTTCAAGTAGAGTTATGAAACAATATCATGGGAAACAACCGTTACTGTCTCTAGTTTGCAAAAGACATTCAGAAAGTGTTTCCAAAGTGTGTGACAACGACATAAAACCGGTAAGCGAGGTACGTCTAGAGAGATCTCGCCACTACAAAACACCCCGACAGCGACCCGGTTAAGGTAGTCTGAAAAGTTGAGGGAGGTGTTCTAAAGATTACCCCAACTCTAGACCTCTTACCGATCCGGTGAGCGTCCTGCGAACTTTTACGAAGAATGAAGAGTGAGGAAGCAACGGGCCCGGCCACACAAAACCCTAGGTAACAGTACGACTTATCTGGGGTCGGTGGCAAAGTAGAAGTTACGGGGAACGGCTACCTTCCTCCAACAGTCGAGGTTTTAGAGTTTTGCTATGTACCGGGGTAAGGTACAGAAAGGAAATGTGCCTAGTCAGAAGGACCAGGGAAACGTCTTTTTGTCGGGGGTTTCGTAATAAAAGGTGGGGTTACAAAGTGTCATCCATACCACAAAACTACTACGTTGAGTCGTAATAGAAAGAGGAGGTTTGTGTAGATCAACCTCCAAAAATCTGTTCTTCGAAGATAAAACCAAAGTAAGACTTGGGTATACTGTAAGAGGGTTAGGAGAAGACCTAGTAGATTTACGTGAGCTCGTTTGAAGTCTGCCCGGGACCTGTACATGACCGAAATTCGTACCCCTGTGCAGACCGTGACGTCATTACAAACTCAGGGACCGCGCATCACACCAACGACTACCATCGGAAACAATGAAACCCAGCGGTCGAGAGACGTCCAGTAACTGATCCAGGGGGGCACACNAATGTATATTTTGTATTCGTTGACGAGACGGGACTAAGGTGTTAATGGTGAAGATGGACACTTGGGGGAAAATATGCTGCATTTTGAATGTCCGATAGTCCACCATTAACACCTTAGTCCCGTCTCGTCAACGAATACAAAATATACATTTCATCATAGTTTTTATTATCAAGAATCTATTTTTAGCTCGTCATCGTAGACGAACATTTTTCATCATAGTTTTCGTTGCCGAAATGAACACTGGTACTGTAATATGTGTTATGAAATGGAAGCGAAGTCATCAGCTTGATTAGTTTTTCTATAGATAAAGTTGTATGTTTGCAGTACTCCCCCATTAAAGTGACACTGACCCCCCCCCCCACAGGTATCACGACATGCCAGACGTGATCGATTTCCTCGTGGTGAGGCAGACTTATGACGAGGCGCTCCGGAGAAACTGGCAACCGAGTAAGTGTGTGCATCCTGTTGGAGATGTTTGCTTCAAGGCCAAGAAGCATCCTCTGTATTTTCTTTATCAGGCAGTTTACGTCCTCTTGAACATCTTCTCTCCTGTGCAGACGACAGGTTCCGCTCAGTGATAGACGACGCCTGGTGGTTTGGGATGATCGTCTGTCAGGAGCCATACCAGTCCGAATACCCCGACAGCCTCTTCCAGTGCTTCAAAGTCAGGTGGGAAATCATGCTTCTTCTCATAAGAGGGTAGAAATAGTGGAGGGTGCGGGACGTGCTGTTTTTCCTGCTGTCAGAAGCAGAATTAGTAGTACAGTGTATATACATGTGACATTTCAAATGACACCAGAGTGAAGATCTGTATTTCCCTTCGGGGATGAATAAAAAACATCTCAATCTTAATATTCTGAAGCAAATTTCGGCCACTGTTTGAGATCCTCCTTGGATCGCCACAATAGCAAAAATGAGACTATATAATGTATTTCGTACCAACATGTTTTCAATAAACGTTAGTTGTTCAATTCTAATATGTTTTTGTGTTCAGTTGTATTTTTGCAGTCAACAGTATATCTAAATGCTATGTCTGCCCACTAGTGGTTATAAAGAGTCATGACGGGTGTATTATCTGTATGCTATTTGTAACATGCATTACTATTCTGTAAATACACACACACATACACACTCACTCACTCACTCACACACACACCACCATCAGCAGCAGCTATTTGGGGTTAAGTATCTTGCCCGAGGATGTTAGAACATGTTTCACTGCAGGGATCAACACCACAACCTTCAGATTGGGAGATTAACACAATGTGTGTCAAGTGTAATCTGAACTGGGACAAAGAAGGAAGCAGTCAGTGTTGCTGCAAAGAGTGAAAACTGACTTTGGTTTTTGTGTTTCCACCAGATGGGACAACGGGGAAACAGAGAAGCTGAGTCCTTGGGATGTGGAACCGATTCAAGATGACGGTAATTAACACTTTCTACGTTAACTGTCTCAACCACACGCACAGCACAGAGCAGGGTCATTGAGGTTGGATGCATATTGAACTAAGTGTGTCTCTGCAGCCCCGCAGCCGGAGCTGGAGGGAGGCGGGATCCCCGTGACGGAGGAGGAGATGAGGGAGCTGATGTACAAGCCTCTGCCCGGGGAGTGGGGGGAGAGGAGCCGGGACGCCGAGTGTGAACGCATCATCGCCGCCATCGACCAGCTCATCACCGTTGGTGTGTATGCAACAACAAAAAGGACACACACATACCCTCTTTCACATGTCTGGCCACAACTAAAGGTACATCCTGTCGCACAAGTCAGGACAACACACAGAGGCATGTAGGATGTGTAAAGACACCGACGCACTGGAGTCAAGCACCATGAATTTAAGAGGCCGTATTCTGCTTTTTATGGGTTTTCTATCCCTGTAGTGTGTTTTTATATACGTGCATCTAAATGGTCTGCAAAGACTCAAATCTCCGCCCCGACTCCAGTACACGCCAACCACCAATAATAAGTGAAATAATATCACAATGAGACATTACAAACAGCTCCTACAGATACCATTTTGGTTTATAATCTTAAAGAATCTGATGTCCTTCTCCAAAACGTCCCCCTTGCTTCCAGAGTTTATGAATCTGACTCCTGGTGGTTGTGTTACAGAGATCGCAGCTCCTTTCTCTGGCCCTGTGGACTTAATCCAGTACCCCACCTACTGCACTGAGATCGCCTATCCCACGGACCTGGGGACCATCCGGCTGCGTCTCCTCAACAGATTCTACAGGCGAGTCCTCCTTCATCCTGCCTGTCTTCAGAAAGTCCAACAGTTGATGTTTTGTTTGTGAAGACTCTGTACTGACCCCCCCCTCCCCCCCCTCTGCTGACCCACAGGCGTCTCTCAGCATTAGTTTGGGATGCCAGGTATATTGCACACAACGCCCGCACTTTCAATGAGCCAATGAGCAAGATCGCCCACTCTGCAAAGATCATTACTAACGTCCTCCAGAAATTTGTCAAGTAAGTTTGACTTCTTTATTTCTCTCAGTCCCGACTTACCCCCCTGGCACTGTATCGTTCATTTAAATGTAAACATGTTTCCCTTTTACTTCCCCAGTAATCCGAGCTGCACAGATATCATGGAGATTTACAATGCTGTGGAGGAGATGGATGATGAGGATGAGGTAGGTCTGCTTTGTAATTAATTGTTTGATGTATAATGCTGTCAAATGACTATATTAGTTTGACTGACAAATAGAGGAAGGAGACTGATAATGAAAACCTAATTTGCCTCTAGAGCAGGGGTAGCCAACACGGTGCCCGCGGGCACTTAGTCGCCCGCAGGGGCAACGTGAGTCGCCCGCCGGGCATGTTCTAAAAATAGCTCGCCAAGCAAATCCAAAATGTATAAAATACACAAAACAAAAAAGGAAATGTAATTAAAAGAACCTACCCTATGCATAAACGAAACCTCAATCATAGCGAACCCAATCTACTTACTACAACTCTATATCTATCTAACACNTGTATAATGCTGTCAAATTACTTTATTAGTTTAACTGACAAATAGAGGAAGGAGACTGATAATGAAAACCTAATTTGCCTCTAGAGAATACAGTTGATATTGATGTAGTTGTAGGTAATTGTGTTCTGGTTAATGATCAGATGTAACCTTGATTTG